CCCTACTATAAACACAATACGTGTATCCGGAAACTTACTAAATACCACTTTGGCTATTGCATAGTTTCTTTTCATCACCAGGCCTGTATGGAAAGCTAGCACTGGCCATTGATCTCAGTTCTATATTTATTGCGTACAGCGTGTTGTGGTAATGAATTAGCCTGCACAGGGATCATTATCGGAGATGCAGGGGAAGGGCCAAAGCATCCAGGCCCCTCCAGGCCTCTGTGTGTGAGGGGACACTGATGCGGACACTACACTGCTGCAATCAGTCAGCTCACCACCCACCACTATGTGCCACCCCACATGTGAGAGCCGGGTGTGCGTCGCTACAGCTTAAACTAGCAGCGGCTCAAAGACCCGGCTTCTTTGATCTTTTTTTTCTTTCAAAAGGCTCAAACGCTCTTGCTATTGTACGCTTGAGAGGAGCTTCAGCCTTGACTACACAAGAAGAAAAAAGTCTACTTGGACTGTCCGTTTGTTACGCCTTTGGAACAAGTCCTTATTTAAATCAACTCTATGGATTTACATTTGACAATATTGTTGATTAGTTTAATAGGGGTCGTCTCTTGAAAGTAGAAAGGAGCAGGTTGTGTAAACCGCTGAATTAAACGTGGGGTGGAGACCTCTATCAGGACCTCTTATTAACGGCTGCTTGTTCTTGGTGGAATCTGAAGAAATCTCTAGGCTTTGGAAGGCTGTCTGGGGAGAGGGTCAGCCTCTGTAAGCTGTCATTGCACATGAAAGGATTAATGTCATCTTATAAGAAGGGAGGAAAGCCGTCTTATAGTTATTTATTCTGTTTCATTCACATTCTGCTAGCTCTGTAAAAGAGAAAGGCTAATGTCGAGTCTAATTTGTAGCCCTTTAAATTCCAGACGGAGATTCTTTACATATCTCTGGAGCTCATGGCTTCTCTTGGCGCTGACCCTCTCCTCTTTTCCTTCTGGGATTCCTCTTAAACCCGACCAATTTAGTATCTGAAGCAAAGTCAAGATTTACATGAGTTTGTACTTGAATGGCTCCAACTCCAGCTTCATGCACTAAACACTCCCACTGTAATTACCATTCGTGGGTCCTACACACTGATACCTCCCTCTCTCTCGTCGGCACCTTGGCCAATTGAAGGAGAGAGGAAAATACTTATTCCCCAATGCTGATTCTTAGTGCTCCTTGTTCAGGATCTGTAATTGGATCTGTGTTTTCGACTCCCTGCTAATAAGCAGCTTACTTTGGTTCCCTCTAGACTTGACCCACCACATTTTTGTTTTATGAATTTTACAAGGGGATTTAAATAGATGCTTTAGGCTATGCAAAACATAGGCTGAAGGGGAGGGATAATGTGAGAGCCTTGACACAGAGTGTGCCTGAGTGGCTGCTTATCATTGCGGGCAGGTCTCATAACTTTCATTAAGGTTGATGTAGGACAAAGGGGAGCACCAAAGCAGAGGGACATGAGAGAATATTAACCTGTGCTCTTGTAACTAACTATAATTGTTTTGCATTGGGTCTCTCCTCAGGCAGCGGCCTCATTATCTCGGCCTGTACATGACGGCGCAGCTGATTTCAGTGGCCGCGCTTGTTAGAGGAGATTGGAGGTCAGGGCAAACTGTAATCTGCCTTTGGTTATTTTTATGGTGAATCCAGCGGCAAGGGGCCAAGCAGTGTGTTGGTGTTTCTGACATAACACCTAATTTTCTTTCTTTTTAGATTCATGTAATTGTTTCTCAAGTTCACTGCTCAGGGCTGAAAATATTTAGTGCATTCTGATTGTCTTAAAAATTGGACTTTCATTATGATAACTGTTTTGTATTTTTTAAAAGAGGAGATTGATTGTTATTGTTTCATTTTATTTTTTGGCTTTCCCTAGATTCCTAGATGACTCTGAAAGCATTTAATTTTGTCATTAGAATTTGTAACAGAAAAAGTTGGTTGTGTGTTTGGAAAAAAAAATCACTGAGGCGGCAGCATTGTTACGTGGTCACGGCCAGAATTAAATCAACCAACATGAGTGTTGATACGTAAATTCTAATAGTTGTTATTGCTTTTCTGCTTAATGTTTATCTAGATTCTAAACATGTGCCTGAAGCCTATTACACTACACACCAAGGGAATTGAATGTTTCCCACAGAGGTATGGTGTACCTATTTTAACCCCTGCCGCTGTTTTCTTTGGATAAATGTGGCATTTAAAATCATTTTAATGCCACGTTGATCCAAGCATTGCACAAAAGTTTACTGTGAGCCCTATAATCCTTGTTGTTAAAATATGTCTGCTCCAAAAGCTGATACATAAGCCTATATCACAAACTTCATAATACATAAAAATAATATACATAATAGTGATAATTCAACTATACTATAAATTTAACTGACTAATGTCACGTTTTATTAATTTCAAAATCAATAAGCTCCTTATTGAGCGCCATTTATAAATAGATATAAACTACGCATTCTCTCTAATACAGAACTGCGGACTCCTTCCATCTGTTAACCCTTTACCACTCGCCCGCCTGCGGTCTACTTTTGCCTTTATTTAAATGAATGAGTTAAAGCTGCCAAACGAGTGTGTTCTACCATGGCATGTCATACATAATTTTTAAGAGGTTTTTCTCCCGGAAACTACCTCTTCAATTAAATTGTTACCTCTCATATAATTTTTTTTTTTAAAGGTAAAGATTTTAAGTACTTACCCTATTTTGGTTGCCTTTCATACCTGAAGTAGCTTTTGCTGTGCATAGAATACAGTGAATATATAGCTCTGTGAAAATGTGTACGGCCCTTAACAATATGTCCATATCCCCATGTGCCCTCCCCCTGCCCTAATGCCTTCATTATGCTCTGTTTATCAGCATTAGTCTCTTTTTCACATTTGGAGAAAAGCTCCCTTCTCTGGACCTAGAGCTGTTTCGCACCTGCTGCACACGTTGGTCCGCGAGCAAATCGCTCTTGAACATCCCAGAAAAAAGCAGCAGAACAGGCTAACCTGATAAAATGCTATACTTAACTGTGTAATGCTAATGGATCTTGTGTCAGGTTAGAAATAATAATATGTGTAATCATATTCAAAAACAAAAATCATATTAAATTAGATTTTATATAAAGATTTTATACAGTAAGCTTGAAGGACTGGTAACTTTAAATAAGCAATCTGTTAAAGACCGTACTGGGGGTCCATCCTCTCCCTAATGTGAAGAGTGTGATGTTAGTCGAAAGCTCATTTATGGCAGAATGACAGTGTCGCTCGTCCAGGGTCAGCCAAATGAGAGGAATGAAAAATGTAAAGTCAAGCAGTGACCCATAGCCTGCCCACAGTTTCTTCAATCATTAAAATACTTTCAGAAACCATGGACGATTCCATTATTCATTATAGGTTATGGTTTTAAGTGATTTTATCATGCCTGTCTACATCTTTTCCTTAAGCCTATTCATTTGTCTTAAAAAGAAGAGAAATTAAGAACATGGTTGCTCTCTCCAGACATAGCAGACAGGCGCAGTCAAAGGGTTGAATACTGTTTGAAGATGAAGCTTCCCTCAAAGGCACTAACTAAGACAGTCTATTGGCTATAGGAGCACTAATGACCAACACAATCACCTATCCTGACATGAATACCAAAGATAACAAGGAGAGGTGGGAATAGGTGGAGGCTCTCCTCCATTCTCCATCCTTCTTTATGGGAATGTAGCCATGCGCTTTACTTCATCACAAAGCTAACGTTGCATACAACTTGGAAACCCCACCCAGCACATAACCACCGCCCCCTGCAGCCTTCCTTCTCTTTCCTGGTTGGTAATTCTCCCATCTGGAGGATGTTTGAGAGAAACAAAGAAACAATAAGAGGAAGTTGGGCGAGGGGTTGTCAGGCTGTCAGTAATCTGACAGCTATGGTAACTACCCTCTAATCCAGACGGCTGCAGCCACGCTCCGGCCTGACACCCGCGCCTCTGACTGACAGCTGAAGACCGGCCACATTCCACAGGCAGAAGTGACATCCAGTCTATTAAGGCAGACAAGCACAAAGCACAGATTTGCCCTGGCTGCCTGCTACTGAAGCCGACTATGGGGGTGATTGGAGAGGTCCTGGAGAAGGTGTCAGACTCAAGCTTAGATGATAACCATATTGTAATGATGCTGCTGGACAATGAAGCGCCATGATTGCCCATGCTGACAGCGGAGGTTTGCGTCTGGTTACCCCCCTCCCTGCACATTCACAGGCAGCTCACAACATACACAGTCTCCAGGTCCCAACTGCCAGTCAAAGCACAGCCGCAAACGGGCGCTCGTCTTCTTCTGGCACAAGAGCACACCAAACAGTAATCTAATGGACTGACCTGAAGCACGCTTCTCTGACAGGGCGAGTGCTATATAATTGTTGTTTATCTCCATACTCTTCAGATAACTCTGAGAGAATAAAGAGACTTCTCAGTGTTCATTTGTTGCTACAGAATAACCCAAGATTTTCTACTTTGTTAGTGCATCAGCAAAACATTCCTGTGGAAAGCTATACATGGTTGCTCTTAGAGCCTTCTGCTATGGCACAAGTATGTAATTGGTTCCACTTACGGTTAATTATTTGCACTGGCAGGTCGTTTTGTTGTAAGCCATTCATTAAAATAGCCATCCCATGCACAAAGCAAATGAGATGAACTGGCTGTGCTCCTAAAGTCCCCAAACCAAACCCAACCTTAATGATACTTGCGGCAGCCTATATAATGGAACAAGTTTACATAAATTAGACCACAGAACTGAGGTGGCATGAGACAGCTCCCACCCCTGTTACCATCACTATTTTAGCTAATTAAAAGTACCAAAAGAAGGTTCAAAATATATGTTTTGGTCAGATTTTGTATGAACAAAAAGTCTTTGTCATTCCTTTCAACTTTATGTAGAAAGTCATCCCCCAATTCTAGTGTTATTGAAAGGATTGAAATAGTTAACATGAATATGCAGAAACTGATGGGAAATAGAAATATGCGTACAGTAAAAGGGCTGTCCATTCATCACCTCCACACTATATCATTCAGATAGAACAGAGATGTCGGCCCCAGGCGGGAGTTCACCAAAGGTGGCATTTCCCTCTGTTCTCCAGCCAGCGCCTGCCCGTCTTCCATCTTACTTAGCTTGTCCTGATGGAGGCTCAGGGTGCACGCTTGGCTAAGTGACAGGGAGTTAAGTATACGTTCACACCGTACAGGGATGCTAGTTACGTTGACAGAGAGGTTCTGCAACCGGTCGGTCAAGCTGAAGCCCATTCAAGCTCCAATCAGACCAATGATACAATGGGGTTGTCTCAGGGTCTCATTTGGAAAGGTACATTAAAGTGAATTTTCAATCACTGTAGGTCAAGTCATCTTGGTTGAATTAAGTAGATCATCAAACATTGAAAGTAACACACACAATATAGATTCAAATTGTATCACTTTAAATAAAAGTTGGAGACAGGTGAGGCTTGTATGTTTGTCTTAGTGTTCACTTTGTATTCAGGCCAGCAAGGTCGTAATGAGACAGATAATAGAGAAGGTTTTTATTCAATGGCTTGTTAATTGGTTGCCATCGCATCCCTGGAAAGGTTACGTTTATGGTTACGTGTCACCAATTATGACACCAGCTGGCTTTGTTCATCTGTAAAAAAAGAAAAAAAGGTGAAAAGTCAATGTTTTGGCGACAAATGACAGTTTAGACGTGAACATATTACAGAGCTGTGTGTTGTGTTCTCTCACAACGGCTCAAAGTCCAGGCTATGCATAATCTCTTTTGAGCCCAGAATCAATGTGTGCATAATCAAATTCCTATTGACAGCACTCATGTCCTTCTCCCTGTGGCAGAAAAAGAGATTTGAAGTGGGCGAGGATGAATGCATTAACATCCTCTCAGTCACTAGCAGATAACAAAGCTCCTTGACTTTCTTTTATCACAGCAGATTAGGTCAACTTTTTACACGTCCTGAGTTTCTCTCTGAAAATGACGAGTTTGGATGTGAAACAAGCAGCATGTCAAAGCGGGTTGAAAGATGTAGGCATTTCCTGCCATGTCACAATGACAGGGTGCTGAATATTTGGGCCATTAGGGGCTTATTAGTGGATAAATGACCAGATGGTTCAGTGATGCAAAGAGATGGACAGAACTGGATGCTACTAATCAGCAGTCTGTAGCGTGGTGTCAAATCACATGACATGGTTACCCGTGGCAACGGGAAAAAAAGTTAACATTAGCAAGTCAATTTGAAAAGCGGCTACTGTAAACAGGGTTTGGAGTAGTACTGCGACACTCAGTTGTGTGTGCTAATTTTATTTAGAAAACACTAGATTTCCAATCTTAAGTAAATCTTTTGATAATATTTACAATTTCTTTAATATAAACTACTAAGAACTAAATATTAATCAGACTACTTTAATGGTGTTTGTGTGCCTTTTCCACACAAACAGTGAGCATCTTGTTTATGGAAACACCACTTTAGTTTGTATTTGTCAATATATCTGTCGGGTTTGTACTTTTGAGGTGCTTTGATTAGTTTGATTCAGAGATACCCCGCAATCTTCTTTACAGGAGGTAACCAACACATTTGAAATGGTCCATGTTTGTGCTTCAATATAATTGGTGATGGGTTGTTTGTGACAGATGTGCAGAATAAGAAGTTGGCTTGGCTGCATCACACAAAGACAATACAAGATGCTCCATGTTGGAGATGCATATGAATGTGTGTGTGCCTAATTGTGTGGTTTTGTTGAGCCACAGCTGACACAGACGTGTGTAATGGAAGAGAAGAGCTGTTTGAAGGCGCTCTGTCACTTCTTTGATTGTTTTGCCTCTGTTCTACAGAATAATTGATGACTGGACCACTAACACTAAATGTATTGTTATCATTCATTTGATTCTGTAGATACATTATAGAATTCGGTAGATTTTTTTATAGAATAATCAATTTATTTAGAAAGGGTGAACGGATAATTTAAAATCTAATTTAACTAGATTATTACCACTATTTTGAATGAATGTAAAAGATCAAATAAAGTAAAAGTAAATATAAGCATTTTTTTTTTCTTAAACAGCAGGCCTACGTGCCTATTAAGCATAAAGAAGTATTGATGAATTGCACAAATGAAGTTTCTTGATGAGAAAATTCATTTAAATAATTTATGCGTACATTGCTTGTACCACTCCATTATACCTTTGAACAACAATGTGTGTGATAAAACATAAATATTGTTAAGCTTTATTGGGCTGAAACAGTGGGGCTCCATGTTATTATCCTACCCCCCATTACAGTGAATGGGAGTACGTTGTTATTATTTGTCATCATATGCTAATTACACATCATTAATGTTAGACCTTAATGGCCCAGAGTGGGTAATAGGCTGAGGGGTAAGAGAGGCTGAGCTGGCTGCTGCGGCGAGTGTCTGAGGAGAACTGCACATGCTAATGAAGCTCACAGCTTTTATCTGAGCAGATTAAAAGGGAAAAGATCACAACCCTCAAAATAAGCGTTTTGACATCTGTAATTGGAAGAGACAACAAGCTTTTGTTCTATTATTGGGAGCACAAGGTATCGGCCTGCTCACAGTCTCTGTAGAGCTCCGCTCCCTCATTGCCTCCAGTCAGTTATAGCCAAATGAACGCCACCACTTTCATGCCTTCAGCTGCTCCAGGACTGAAGATGGAGTGTTGCTGCTTCCAAGGCTTTGTTCAGCCTGTGATCTGCACCTAACTGGTGTTTTAAATTAATGGATAGTCTTTTGACGAGAGCACAAAGTAATTTCACATTCTTCATGCACACAAACACTTAATTTCTATACTATTTTGTTTGGTCCTTCACCCCAACGTGTTGTTGGCTAAATGACACTTAAGCACAGGTCAATAGGAGCAGTGTGTGCAGCTGGCCTCTGCAGTAAGCCAGGCCCTGAGCTGCGGCAGCAGAGCGACAGCCGGTCCTGCATGGCTCCATGTTTGACCCTCAGCTTCATGTGTAGTCCAACCCTACTCCACTCTATACCTAAAGACACCTGCTGAGGGGCCACCTCACAGCCTGCAGTGGCTGTGGGACAGTGTTGAGATGCACAGAGGTGGATTTCAGGGTCTCTGACCCTGTAGCCATCTGACTGACCTCAGAGACCCCTGAAGCTGGGAGTGTTCCCCTCTGAGGTCTGAGCCCACAGGTCCCATCATCACAAAGCCTCTCAGCTGGAGGCCATAGATGCAGTGACCTACATCCTTCCATATAAAACAATATGTACAGCATCATCAGATGTTTATCCACTGTGACCTCCACCAACTGCCCCCATTTATACATCCCATGAGGAGGCATGGTCTTCAGGTTTACTCTATGGACGGCTGTTGGCACCACATTCATAGGGCTCTGTTTGTACGTGGTCATGTTGATTGTTGAATAATCTCTGTGATTGATAAATACTGTATGTAATTTTTTATTAATAATAGCTCAAAATTTTGAACTGGTAAATTGGATTTCTGGCTTTATGTGTATAAACAGCCACGTTTCATGTGTTGGGAGGGATGTAAGAATTCACACAAGTTGGGAACTCAAGTCAGAAGCAGCTGCCTGACTTCAGCACTGGTGCGTCCCCTGCTGTGAGGGAGTCGCTATAAAACTTAGAATAATTCTATAAATTATGACATTAAAAATGTTTGAATCCCACTCGGCTTTCAACCATATGTTTGACAACAAACGCCAGTGACTGATCTGTAGAAATTAGGTCTTGCACGTTGCCATGGTAATGAAAGTGACAGGATCCTGATTCTTATAAATTTGAACCTGGAACCCCATAACAATAATCTCTACTTGAGGAATGATTTTGTATAGATTTTTCATCACTTTAACAAGGTATATGGAGCAATACAACAAGGCAAACAGAAAATCTAAATCTCCAATAATTAAATATAAAACTAAAAAACTTTATTCTTAAATAGCGTTGTCCAAGGAAAAAGTATCTGCAACAGTTTGATTGGGTTTGTGGAGCAGAGAATGTTTCAATAACGTTGTAACGTTAAGGAACCAGCCATAAACACAACCATGATGAGCCACTGCTGCAAATATAAAATATTGTATAGCCGACAAAAGCCTGTTATGTCTTCTTTAAAGAACAGGAATAATAGTTGAAGTGATGGTACTAAAAAGTCACTTTGTTTAATTATTGCTAGTTATCACAATTACCTTCTCTTTGACTTAAGGTGTATGTAATAAGAACGTTTCCGGTTGCCTTGGAGAAATGTGAAAGGTCAGATGTCAGTTTTAATATGACTCAAGCATGTCTAATGAAACGCTGTTGCGATATGTGTTGAATATGAATGCATTAATTTCTTAAATGTCTTTCATATTTGCTGGCGCTTCAGCCTTTTTAGCCGGGATAATTTGACAGCAGCCCCCTGCTCAGCTCTGACAGCTCTGAGGAGCCGGGGCTAGGCACCTGCGTCCACCCAAGCATTAAAGCTCAGATCCTGAACTCTCTCACAAATGAACTGTCAGATCATTACTGCGCGTGATGCAATATAATCTGTCTCAGAATTAGCATTTGGCCGAGTCCACACAGGGTTGTGCCTCCCTCCTCTCTGCTGTACATAGAGCCTCTCTGAAGGCCTGGCTTTGAATATGCATCTCTTCACATTTTCATGAGAGATCCGCGGGGAGTGCAGCCGAGCAGCTTTCAGCATTAGCATGTCAGGAGGGAAGGGTCCTGTGCTCAGGTCCCACTGCAGATGCTCTGCCTCACTTGTTCATTACAATTGCATTTCATCAGCTTGATGATGTCCACATGCCAATTGAGCATGAGGATTTTGCACACAAAGAAGCCTCTGGGAAAAGGACTTCGCTGGCTAATCAGCTGATTATCATACCTCAAATGGGGCTGGTGGAGTGATACAAGTAGCAGCCAAAGACCAAGGTGCTGGACATATTCGTCCGGATAGAGAACAAGCAACTTAAGCACAACACACAGCTAGTGGACTCAGTTATTGCACAGTTATTACATACATAGTTAAGCTATATTTAGTTTAATCTCTGCTCTACTCACATCAAATTTGTTTACAATCTTTATTAAAGATTAAAGTATCACCGTTTGTCAAATGATTGTTCACATCATTACGTCTCTTCTATTCTATTAGCTTGAATCCATTGTATGCCTTTATCTCAGCAGGAGAGCCCTTTTGTTCAAGCATCTTTTGTTTGACAATAGCTAAACATAGTGGAAGTGAAGTCACAAGTGACCTGAAGCCCAATTATAAAGACTGCAATCTGCATTGTTCTTGGAGCGAAAAAAGAATCAATGTGCTGAAGGCATATCCCCATCAGAAGACCTAATGATGTCTTTCTGGACCACAGCCTTGCACACTGCATAGTAATCTTCTGCTAATTAGGTTTATAATGCCTAGGCAGGCCTCCGCATCAGCACTATTCCAGGGAGGGCCGTGAAGTTATTTATTTATCTTGCCGAGGCTCATTGTTATGGCAGTTATAATTAAAGCAAAATTATTTTGAAAGGAAAGAGCTTTATTGGAATTAGTGTTGCACATTTCAAGTGTGTAGACTTCACTGGAGTCTTCCATCATTAGCTCTCATTACCTCCTGCGTTTGTTTGTTGCGTACAAAAGAAATTGTGAACTGGTTTTTAGAGTCTAGTGCAGAAATAAAATGATAAATAGAAGCTCATGTTAAAGGATCAATAGCATTTGCCATATTCTCCTTGTAAAGCTTGAGGGCCCAATCACTCCTGTGGTCATACTGTATTAGCAACCTTTGCTAAGTCAGATTCATTGCTTCCCTCATTAAACTCATGCTGGATTAGTCTAAGTTGATTTGTGGGGCTCTATATAGGCTAAGTGTGGCTGTAAATAACATATATTTCCAAGATTAACTTGTCTATTCATTAATTTATTTCTAAACCAATAATATTGCAATACATTTGTTCTTTTGTTCAGAAAGATCTATGTAACATTATTGAAAATATGGGTCCTATTTCCACTTGATAAATTACTGTAGCAATTAATATATTGACAAAATACATTCAATTGATGTATAAGTGTTTTCGATTCTAAAGAAAGCAGGGGACACAGTAGAAGTCACTAGAGAGCTTGTGAGCCTGGCCTCTTCCATCTACACCTGCGGACTGCCCCGCCCGACCCGCCTGGGAGTGCTTCAGTCCTGCACCGGACCTGTCCACGTTCAGCGTCCACTGGCCCACGTTCTGTAGCTAGCTTAGGTCCTGGATCATTAGTCTGTCCGTCCGGAGGAGCGGATCCCTTTCTCATATGGGTCTCCCTCCCTGTGGGTTTCCCTAGTTCTCCTCCAAGGTTTCTCACTTTTTCCCACTGGGTTTTTTAAGAGTTTTTCCTTGTCGATGCAGGAGGGTCTTGTTGGACAGTTAGTGTCCAACAGAAAGGATTGGTGATGATCAGGACACTTTAGCATTCTACAACATGTATGGACATTTTCTTCTGTGTGTGCTTTATATTCTTCATGTGTTTTAACTGTTGATTCTCTGACCTGTGTTGGTGATTTCAATGGTTTTGTTAAGTCCTCTGAGATGACTTCTGTTGTGACCTAGGGCTATACAAGAATAAATTGTATTGTATTGTATTGTGTAGAGAGAAATTAGAGCATTTCTCCCTCTCTTCCAGATGAGAACACCACCAGCCTCCAGGGATTTCTTCAGCTAGAAATTAGTAATATTCCAAACACCTACCTGTGCACTCTAAATATAAAGTGCTGTTTAGCACCTTTAAGGGTTGAGCGTGTCCCATGAGAAGTGTAATGTGCAGGCGCACCACCAAACTTCTCGAGGGCCATTTACAATGGACAAGTGTGCCTAACAACAACACTGAGACATTTGATCAAGTTGTTCTTTTGTTTATATTAGATGTAGAGATCATACATTTTGGACTAACCCTAACACTGTATTTAGTATAAAGTGGTGTGTGGTTCTTCTCTAAACCCTAATAGGATATTTTTGTATGGATTATTAATTTCTGTTTTTCTCTTCAAGAAATAAGTTTAGTTTTTATAAGTTTTCAAACGGCATACTTTCTACTATGTCTGATATTGCACTCAAGGAGTTCAGTACTTTTCTTTAATAGCTTGAAACTTGCTGTTGCTCTTTCTCATGAAACTTAGTAGTAGCTGTCCACCTTTTTTCTGGCAGACACTTAACTGACAAGCTTCGTGCATTTGGCAAGATGTTATCCAGCATGGAGCTCATCTACTGCTCTGACAGGCCCCAGCACCTGCCAGAACAGCCCCTTACCTCCACTCTCTGTGAGCGAACAATACTCTGCGCTGAGGGAACTCTTTCAATCCTCTTCGTGTAGGAATTTCTCCGTATGTTCTAGTGTTTTCCTTTGCTTTGATTAGATGGAAGAAGCCAAGATACTTTCATGGATAATGAGACACTGGACAGAGGTTTTATTTGTTTCTGGAGCTAAGGTCTCCATTGGTCTGTTGGCAGCTGTACAGTGCAAACACACTCATGGATGCCAAGTAGTCCAAATAAATGGCCTAGTCCAATTTAAGTTCAGTTTAAAATGTGCATAATGTAGGTAAGCCATGACATATCTATTCTTCTAAATGGTGTAAGCATGTATGGTCTAGAGAACTACAGTGTAAAACCAAAGAGAATGAGCAAACCACAAACGTCCAGCTATTTGTAATAAGTGGTATGACAAACTTAAACTTAAACAGAAAAAGGTTGGAGTCTTTGGCTTGATTGGTATTAGATCATAAAAGCAGGCCATTTGAGTAAAACTTGAGTGATTCACTCATCTAAACGAAAATCTAACAAAGGTGCTGGGTAACACACTTTTTGTCAAGGAAATGGGCATTCAGGAGTGGCACAGGTCTGTTCCTGCTCACAGGTCTGTTCCTGCTGTTCGCAGTATTCTGTGAAGGCATCTGATTGGTTAATTAGCAAAATAAAACGTTTATATGAATAAAAATAAAGAGTTTACTTTTCAATTTTTAGGGAATAGATAGGAGAGGTTCTGCAGGTCTTTCCTTCCTGCTGCTATCAGACTGTACAACAAACAATAAGGACTACTGAACATTGCCAACCTGTCCATGTGTCATGCATCATTGCAATATCCTTATTTTATACCTGAATGTGCAATATACAGCTGCTAATGTACAGATGCTAATATACAGCTGCTAATGTACAGATGTA